GAAACATAATGTTCTGGGGGGGGAGCGCCGAGGGCCAGGACCCGAGTCAGGGGCAGCCTCCGGGGGGGAATGGGCTCGAGAGGGACGCATCGACTCCCGATGGCCTGTTGGTCGCCGGTAGGATCCCGGTAACCCACCCCGCCCATGACCATGTGGATTTGCTTACGGGGCCCATCGCTGATCTACCGGCGATGCACAGTGGAATCCAGCTCGATCGTTCCCCCTCCGAGCTGGCCCTCACTCCATCCGCAAAAGTCGACCCCCAGGCCTTTCCCTCGGGCGCGATCCGACCAGATTTCCTCGAGGGGGACGCGGCGACGGCGACGATGGCCCACCCCACAGGAGGCCCGAGGGGTGCGAGGCGCGCCTCGATCCTCGATCCCTCTTCCTGGATTGGATCGTTGTCGATGCTTCCCCCCCTGAGCTGGTCCCCGATGGTCCCGCTCTATCCCAGACCCGACGTCATGTTTTTTGCCATGACGTGGACCCCCAGAGGTCTCGACCCATTCCCCTGGACCAGTTTTTCATCCTGAGTCGTGTTTTGACGTTCCCGGGGCCCCGCGAGGGTCCACAGAGACCGGAAATAGCCAAGCAGATTCCCGTCATTATTTTTTATTTGTTTCATGACCCGAGGGGGTATGGGCTCGTTGCCCCTCACCGATTCCCAGGAGGGGTTGAGGAGGGACAGAGCCCAGGAGGGCGGCGGGGGAGAGGGCCGAGGGCAGAGGATGGAGGGGGGGGGCTTGGACGGATGAGGACGGATGACCGCAGAATGATCGAGGAAGCGCAAGTTCTTCACGCTTCGCGTATCTCCGCCTGCCTGTCTTGGCCTCGCTTACGGTTGCGGTTCGGCTGGAGCTTGGCGCCGCAAGGGCGACTTCTCCTCCCGGTTCCTTTGCCGCCTCGTTGCCGCGCCTTTCGCTTCCCCACCGGCCGGGCTGACTGGGCCGGTCGCCAGCAGACGCTGAAATGCGTCTCAATGAGGGGCATTTTGTCCCTGGCATGTGCATGTGCCGTTGCGAGTGTTGTCCGCTGGACTCCGCGGCAATCTCGCGCCAATTAATGACATACCGCGCCCCGGACGTTGTGCTCGCTCCCTGTCTCTCGCCTCGGAGCCGCGGACCAAAAAGTATCTCCGCCTGCCCATTCAGAAACCCTGCCCATGAGAGCTGACGGGAAAGAGGACGCAGAGACACCTACAGTGAAACAAAGCGGGCAACCAGGGTGAACAGAGAGATCTCTGGGAGCAAGGGGGTAACCTTGGATGACCTTGGAGGACAACGAGGACGATGACGGAGCCCTCAAAATGGTCTCTTGGAGCCCACTCGGGACTCTTTTGGGGGGTTTGGGCATGCCCTTTGGGGCTATTGTGGAGGTCTTCGGGCCCTCTTGGGGTTCTCTTGGCCCCCCCCCCCCTGGGGCCATCAAAATCGCCTCTTGGGGCGCGCTTGGGACGGTCTTGGGCCCGTCTTGGACGCTCTTGGGGCCGTCGGGGGGGGGCCTCTTGGGCCCATATTGGGTTTTTCCTGGGCCATTTTGAGGCTTCCAAAGCGCATCGGAAGCGACAAGGCGATAAGTCAAAATTAATTTGCCATCGTTGTTGGAAGGATTTGGGCCTCTTGGGGGGTCCTGAGGGGGCTCCGATATCGCTTGGAATCGTCTTGTGGCCCTCGCTGGGCCTCGTGGAGATATGTCAGAAGCTATCTTGAACCATCGTCGGCTATATTGAGCCATTTTGGAGGCCATCTTGGAGCATCGGAGGTCCTCTTGGAGCCATCTTGGGCGCTCTGACCGATCGCGCCCCCCCCAACAAAAAACCTCGGGGAAAGGGGGGGAGGTAAACCTCCTCGAAAGGAAGAGGTTTTCGGAAAAGGACAGAATTCGTTAGACCACCTCAGCCCAAAGGTCTGGTGGGATATGTCGCGGCGCACGAACCAGCGGGTCAAGAAAAAAGTCATGACGGCAGGTTGTTCGCTATCTTCGGCCTTTTGGAGCCTTCACTGGGGTCCGGCACCGTAAGAAAAACGATTCAGGATGAAACACGGGTCCCGGGGGAAGAGTCTAGACGTTTGGGGGTCCACGTCATGAAATGAGTTATGACGTCGGGCGTCGTGAAGAAATCGCGACGGAAGGTTTGTGGCCATTTTCGGCCTCTAGGGGTCCTCACCAGGCCCCGGGGCTGTCGCGAGACGGCTCAGGATGAAGAGACGGTCCTTGGGAAGGGGTCCAGGCCTCTGGGGAGCCACGGGTCAGCGCTAGCGGGGGTCGGCCCATCCCCTCCGATCCCCCATTGGTTGACGGGTGTTTGGGCGCCGCGTGGGGACGATTCCCCCTTTCGGCCCTCCGTTGGCCCGGGTCTGGGAGCTACTAAGCCGTCGGCCAGGCGTCGCGACAGGGCCCTGGCCGATTGGGGTCTGTGCTGTGCCGGGTGAGTGCGTTTTCGAATACAGATTTACTGTGCGTGGACTAGGGACGGGTGACGTCTCTGTGCAGAGTCGGCGTCTCTGACATCGGGCGGCATTGGCCTCACGTTTCCGCCTTGATCTGGCGCCCACGCGCCAGAACCACGGATCGGTAATCCATGTAAGCGAATGCCCGAGAGGACCCTGGGCTGTTCGGCCGACCTGCGCGCTCGCTGGGCCCGCGACCATCGAACTTGCCCGATTGGAGGGAAATCGGATGAGCGAGGTCGAGCGAGAAGGATGATGAGTGAGGAAAAGAGGGCCAGTGCAGACCCAAGACTCATCAGAGATACTGCCATGAACCCTCGCTCCAAGTTCCCTCTTGAGAGGCCCCTAAAGGGTTCATTCTCACTGAAGGGAGTACCCCCTGGGGTGCGACAGGAAGGAGCAGGTCAGGTGAGCCAGGCGCCTGCACGGCGCATCGGCAAACTTAGGGAACGCCACCAGAAACTTGGCGATATTGTGACACTTTAGTGCCTTCGTCCCCTGATCCAAGTAGCCGTGGAATAGAACATGCAAGCAGCACAACCGCAACGCTAGCTACGAGCAGGCCTGTCCGGCGGGAGGGGGGGGAGGAGGAAAGAGAGGAGGGGTGGAGGACAGAGGGAGCGAAAAGGGTGGCAACAGGCTTTAGTCGGTCAATTGCCTGTAGACACATTCTGCCCACTGCTGTTTGGGCCTCCCGCGTCTTCGGCGCAAGACCCACTTACGTGTTTCCATCGAATCAGGCTCACAAGATAGAACCATGAGCAAGCAATCGTGCGGCTGGGTGGCGATAGCATTGTACAAGTTCGCCTGGCCGCTGGTTGCTAGCTAAGGTAAAACTTCAAGTCGATTGCTTTGCTTCTTCAAACACTTAGTTGTTCGATACTCTCGAAACAAAAGGACACGGAATCGATAAACTTCTGCGCAAACATGGGACATGGAAGCCATCAGGACGTCTTTTGTCCGCTTGCAACAACCAACGGGACTCGATATTATACAGCAGCTTCGGGAGTACAATTGCGACGTACAAATCTATCTTCCTATGCCTCGAAATGCTTGCGTGTGACCAGCAGCGCTGCAACGACATGAACATGCCCTTCGCCTCGCCGATGCGTCTTGACACTTCTGGCTGCGCGGCCCCATCTGCTGTGATGAGTCCTCCAAGACACACTACCTGCTCCACTGTTTGCACCAGGTTCCCAGACGGAGCGACGATGACACCGCCGTGGTTCACGAGAAGGGCAATTGTTTCGTCCCAGTTCAATTCCAAGCCATAGACTGATCTCTCCCTGATAGCAGAATCCAGGAGTAGTTGCAGCTTGGCTATGCCGCTGCTTGCGAGCATGGTATCATCGGCGTACAACAGACAGGCTGGTGGTTACAAGAAACTATGGCTCCTTCATGCTCAACTTTACTGCTGCCATGTTCTGGTCGATGTCGTAGAATACGATGATGAACACATCTGGAAAAAGCGGGCACCCCTGTGCAGTCCCTGTTTTCTGGTGCCTTGTTGAAGAGTTCCCAGCCGCATCGCGTGAGAAGACATATCGTTGATCATACATCCCCGCGATGAACTTCACCATCCTGTCGGGGATTCCAAACCGGTGCAGCGCCTCTATAACAACGTTGTGTTTGATTATGTCGAAAGCCTTAGTCCAGCCCAGGAATGTACCAATAGATCCAGGCGAAGAGCTAGCACAAGCTGCGTCTACCATTTGCGCACGATTGAAATGGCCTGAACGGTATTCCGGCCCGGCCTGAACCCAAATTACGTGTTTCGCATGCGTTGTTCGGCGCCTCCATTCTGAAGTCTTTTCTGGATCATCGAAGCCACGACCTTGTATCCCACTGGTAGTAATGCTATTGGCCGGTAGTTTTCTGGCAGACTCGCATCCCCTTTCTTGTACAGAAGTGTGACACACGCAGTCTTCCACTCTGTCTGTAAGTCGTTCTGGTCCCAACATTTTTGGCATATATAAGCAACTGCTCTAATGCCTCTCCATCTTGCGCTAGATATTTCCAACATTCTGGTGGTATTTCGTCTGCGCCTGCAGCCTCAACGAGGGAGATCCTTGTCAAAGCATATGAGCTCATCCACTGTAAAAGGGCTTGACCTTGCAGGGAGCTCGCTGCCCAAGGCACTTGTGTAGGTAGGCCCAGCATTGGGATTTGTAACCTTCCACTGCGCGTGCTCGAAATAGTCGGCCACGACGTCTCCACGCAAATTGCTGCCAACTAGATCACCTTCAGGGTCTTTGATTTGGTTTGGCCTCTTGGCGGCCCCCTTCCAGAGCTGCCGGACAGCATGCCATGGCCCGAGGAAGGAGCAGAAGGAACAAACATGGAGGAGGAGGAGGAGGAGGAGGAGGATCAGGAGGAGGAGGAGGAGGAGGAGGAGGAGGGTAGTGACAGTGCATGGACGGCGGGGGCGGCGATGGCGTCAGGGGCTCTGCCAGAGGCCGGCCGCCTCTCGAGGGAGGGGGGCCGCGGGGGGGAGGCGCTGCACAGGGCCAGCTGTGCGCCGTGAGCGACGATGTCAACGAGGGCTACTCGATGGGGGTCGACTTCGGCGTCGCCAGGCCCGCCCGTCGATCAGATGATCCAGGATCCCCGGCGGGGGAGGGGGAGTCACATGGAGAAGGCCTTTCTCAGAAGGCGGCGAGACTTCTCAGAAACCCTCGCGCCCTCGAGAAGTTTTCCGTGCATCCGGGGGAGGCTTCGGTAATTTCTCAAAGGGCCCGAGGGCTGCCGACCGTCTGAGAAGGCACGCCCCTTCTCAGCCCCTTCTCGCTTCCCCCTCAGGCTCGCCGCCGGTAGAGTAATTATTTTGAGAATGCTGTGTGTGCGTGTGTCTGTGTGTGTCTCCCCCGTTTTCAAGATCAGCGTTTTCTTTATGTTTCGGGCGCCGTTGTTGTTAGGTTTTTTAAGGTCTGGGATCGGTCCGCTGGGGAGCCGTGTTATGACCACAAAGCCAGGGGGGGGCATTATTAGGGGGGGATAGTCTTAGGGGGGGGATGCATCGACCCTCCAAAGCGCCCATTCACTGCCGATGGCTGGGGGCTTATCGCCCAACCCGCTCAGTGCCGTGCGAATTGGCTATCTGTGCGAAACCGGCGCGCTCCGTCAAGATGAGGCGGCCGTGTTTCGGGGGGGTACTCTTCTCGATCCGTGGATCTGCGCTTACGCGCCAGACCTGCGGATCCATAATCCCTGTTCGCGTGTGCCCGAGCCGGGGTGCGTCCTCCTTCCACGCAGGGAGGGGGTCCACGCTCGGGCCATCTCCTCACGTGCACCCCCCCTTTGGCGCGTACAGGCGCCCACAGCCCCTTTCTCCCCCTGGCTTAGTCCGTTTCATTAATTGTTTTGCTTTGTTCACCTTGGTTTTTTCCCCACATCTTGAGTGGGGTTCTTGTTTTCCCAGAGCATCCTCTCCTTCTCCCTCCCGCCTCCCGCCTCCCTCCCCTCCAGGGAGGCCCCGCCTGAGCGAGGAGGGTATTGGAAGCCCGTACTGTTTACATGGTTTCGTGCCACTTCCACCCCTCTAGGGAGGCCCCGCCTGAGCGAGGAGGGTAACGGAAACCCATACTATTTAAAGAGTTTCGTGCTCCTCCCACCCCTCCAGGGAGGCCCCGTCTGAGCGAGGAGGGTATCGGGAACCCATACTATTTACATGGTTTCGTGCCCCTCCCACCCCTCCAGGGAGGCCCCGCCTGAGCGAGGAGGGTATCGGAAACCCATACTATTTACATGGTTTCGTGCCCTTCCCACCTCCACTCCTCCAGAGAGGCCGCGCTTGAACGAGGAGGGTCGCGGAAAGCATTACTCTTTACCGGGTTTCGTAGCCCTCCCCCCTTCAGCGGGGCCCCGCCAGAGCCAGGAGGGTATCAAGAAACCGTACTATTCACAAGGGTTCGTTTCCTGAGCACCTGTCCTCCTTCCTCCTTTCTTTCGTCTGCCCTTTCGTGCGTACTTACTCGTTCGACGAGCTTCTTCTTCGTGTTGATGTTGTCGTACCCCATGGGTCCCACGAAACCATTTATACCTTTATGTGGGGAACTCCCCGAGCACTGGCCGAGAGGAGGGCTGACGAGGGCATCGGGGCTGTCCGCAGATCGAAGCTCGAGGGAGGCGGAGCATGGTGCAATTTGGACGGCGCGAATTGTCGATCGCCCGCCGCGTGGGCGGATCACCTGTGCCGGAGTTCCGAGTGGGGCGACCGGGGGCCGCCCACCGTGATGCCCGCCGCGGTGGACCTCTGGTAAGGGGAGTCGGTTTGCGATTGGGCCCCGAAGATCCCAACATTGATCTGCCGTAGTTGGTGTTTCTTCGGGTCACGGCAGTTCCGGTTAGTGGAATGGAGCGGGGGGGGCATCCCCTTGTACACATCATTAAACCAGGTTCCACTAAACCCAGTCCCGCCAACACCCGAGAGGTTGGCTCGGCAGCGGGGAGGCCTGGCGGACTTCTTCCTGGAACTCCTGGAAGAAAACGGGTCCTGGAGGACTCTGAAGCGGGTCCTGGAACCATGCCCCCTCGCGTTGTGAAAAGGTCACGACGGGAGGTTTTTCGCTATGTTCGGCCTTTGGGGGCCCCTCCAGGGCTGTGGGGCCGTCAACAAAGCGACACAGGATGAAACACCGGTCCCGGGGAAGGGGTCCAGACCTTGTGGGTCGACATTGGGAACACAATCTCAACGTCGGGGGTCTGGGGAGGTTGTTTTCTGGTTTTCGGCAGGATCCACAGTTGACCCTGGAGATAAGCATGGTAAGGCTTCGGTTGCGCACCGACAGCCCCCCCCAGGTAGTCTCGGCTGACCTCAGCAGGCCGCCAGAGCAGTCCTGGCTGGCCTAAACAGTGCCCCCCGAGGAGCTCGGGGCGGTCTCAATACCCCAACCTTGGGGCGCGGAGCGCTCCAAGCGCGCTCCCGGAGGCAACGCAAGGATCTCGAGACCGCCTCAGATTATTCGGGGGGCCTGTTGAAGCCAGCTGGGACCACTCGGGGGGCCAGCTGGGGCTACCTGGGGGGGGGGGGGCTGGCGATGCATAACCCGAAGCCTCACCAAAGGGGCGCTGACTGACTTTGGCAACGGAACCACCACGAAGCGTGACCCCCCCGCCACGCTACGTAACGCGTGTCGCTGCGCAGCGTCCCCCGCGCGCGGAGGGCGCTCGTGCACGGCAGCGGGAGTGGGCTCGACGGCCGTGCGCACGCGGTGCACGAGTCAGACTCTAAGCGGCCTCCTATGTGGACGCGTGAACGACGCAGAGCAACGGTTCGGTTGTGTGGGCATTCGCGCATAAGTTGCCCGTTCAAGCTCGCGCGCAAGCGCCCTCGTTTGCGATGCAGCGTTCTGCGCTGCCGGCCCGCGTAGGCCGCTGCGTACGGTCGCTATGCCATCTGGCGTAAGACCCGCGTCTTTCCGCGTCGTTCACGCGCTTTCCTGCTGGCCAGCTCCAGCTCCCACCTCCTCATTTCTTTTGGTAGCAAATCATGGGAGCCTTGTACACCCTCGTCATCTCGTCTTTGGAGTGCACTCGCGTAGATTAGCGTCTGGTATTCGATGAGAGCGCCGATGCAGCGTCGCATAGCTTCGATCCTGCGTGGATCAGCGTCGATCCGCAAGGACCAGCAAGATGGAAAGGGAGGCTCTCACGAGTTTCCATATAACCGTCTGGCCGAACGGCCTAGTCGGGCTTCAGAGCGAAGTTGATGCATTGGCATCGTCATGTGGTTGTTCCTAGTCCTTTTCCTCTTCGGCCCCCCGCCCCGACGCCGCACGGCAGCAGCAGCGGCAGGAGCCGCACAGCACGGGCGGGCGAGTACGAGGCCCAGGCCAGCGGGGCCCAGGGCTGAGTTTCAGGCGCCGAGCGAGCAGCTCACGGTCAGTGCTGGCCCCCCCCCGCCGTCCGCGGCGAGCCCCCCCGACGGGGAAGTGGTCTAAGGGAAGGGGCTTCCCTTCGGTTCGATTATGACATTGCGAGGTTTTCTCTCTCGCTGACAGGCTTGAGGGGGGTGCAGGGAAGGGAACGACGCAGACGACGACTGACGGAGACGACGACTCGAACAGGCAACCCCTCGCACATGCCGACAGGGTCGGCGGACTTCAGACACAAGCCCGCCCCCCCCCCCCCGGGTAGCGCTAACGATCGTACTGGGGGGGGGTCCTGGATCCCCCCCAACATGCTGTGGTGTACACAGACGGTTGATGCGCTGGTGGCGCGGACGCGCCCTAGCGGGTGCACGCCGCGGTCGCCGTTACCATTACCCTCGCACCCGACACCCCCCCAGTAACAACCGTTATCTGGAAGAGAAATCAAACTGTCACCTGTCCCACGTCGCACACTCTGCATATTGCGGCTTCTCTTCAAAAGTTTGCCAGTGATCTCTGGGTATCCCGCCTCGCGTCTTTTTCGAACGACTGCACACCGCGGCTGCCTGGCCCAAAGTGTGCTGGTGCTTCCAGGGTATCCCGCCTCGCATTCTTGGGTGGTGATCGGTCGACGCATAAGAAGTCGAGCAGTGGTGAAGCGTCCTGGCTTGCCTACATGCCCACCGATGAATAATCGAGACATTTTTTTCGTTTGCACGCGATGCTCGTAGAACGTGTCTGACTGAGACTGTCTTGATCAAGCACATTGGCTATATCTTCTAAGAACGTTGTTCTTGTTCTTCGCACATTCGTCTGTTATTTAGAACATGGTTTGGTATACCTATAGGATTACAGTGACGGTCGGTCCCTGCTCAAATAATATTTAGATGTTGAATGGATGTTTAGCTTTCGGGGTAGTCTTTGTGAGGCTCCGTGGCCACTTGTAGCCGTCTTGGGACGGTCAAAGGCATGTTAGAAGATCTGATATGGCTATGTTGAGCCGTGCTGTGTTATATTGTGCGATCTTGGAGGCCTTCTCTGGCTACCTGGTGCCCTCTTGGGATCTTGGGCCACCTTGGACGTTGTATCCCCTCGCGCCAGGACTCGTCCAATCCTAGAGAGAGAGGGTTCGTATGGTGGAAAGGTAAGCCACTCCCCCACTGGCTACAGGAGGCCGGAAACATTAGTTGCTAAAACAATACGTTCAAAGGGCTGGTGGGATTTGTGCGGGTGTGTTGAGGACGTCCACAAGAGATATTGTTCTGCCATGTAGAGCAATTTGTGCAGTCATGCTGGCTGTCTTGGGCCGTCTGGAAGTTGTATTGTGGCCTCATGTGTCATTGTTGGCAAGCCATGATTTGACACCCGCTGACCTGCGCTCTTCTGCCTGTTTTGGGACATGTGGGCTCTCTTGGTGCCCGCAGGGGGGGGGTCTCGGTGCACGGGCAGCGCCGGAGGTGCAGCCAAAGGGTGCCATCGCCGATCCAAGAAATCCGCCCAGAGTTTGACAGCTTCTGTCTATGCTGCTGCTTTTTCTTCCTATAGGAAGGCAGGGCCAGAATCCAGTGAGGCCAGCCATGGCCCAGGCGACCCGAGGGGAGGGCGAAGGAGTGGGCGGACGGAGTGGGAGGAGAGGCAAAGGTGGGCGAAGGAGGGGAGGGCGAAGGAGGGGAGGGCGAAAGAGTGGGCGGCGGGGCGGGTGGAGGCAGCGACGAGCGGGCCGACCGCCCGCGCGGCGCCGGGACGCAGGTGGCTCCCGCGCGCGTCGGCGGCATCCGTCGGCAAGGACCGCTGTGGGGGGGGTGGCTGGTGGGGAGCGTGTTTGGATGCGCGCGGGGAGGGGCGGTGCGCCTCGACGCGGCGGGTCCAGGGTCGTGTGAAGTCGGCAATGTCGGCCCCAACGTCGGCAATCTCGGCCCCCCGAGGAGGAGGAGGCGGAGGAGGAGGAGGAGGAGGAGGAGGAGGAGGAGCAGGAGGAGAGGCCAGAATCGAGGACAACGTTGTCCTCGATTCTCGCCTTTGGGCGCCCTTTTCCTTCGTGGCCCACGAGCTTGGGCCAGAATTCGCGCAACCCGAGACAATCAGCGACCCATGGCAGCGTAGGCGCGAGCACATGCGGGCGTGTTGCTGTTCTTTGTGGGTCCTCACGCCTGTCCTCGGGGGAGCCCTGGTCTTCACGATCCGTCTGTCTTCAGGACCCGTGTCCCTCTTGCCGATCTCATTTTGCGCACTTCCATCTCCACACCCCATCAACCCTCCTCCGCCTCGTCCCTCCCAACCCCCAGCCCTCCCATGCCCCCCCGTTATTTGGCAATATCGTTCGGTGTATCGCAACAGTTGCCTCAATGAAGGCAGGTCCCGTGGTACTTTGACAAGTGAGTATGTTGTCTTTAGTCTCGTTGCCCTTTTTTGGTTATGTACAGCGATGTATGTATATGGTGAAGCAGGGTTTTTGCTAACCATCTGATCGGTTTCTAGTTCATTCATCGTTAGCAAGAAGTTGTGTTGCCAGCATGGCTGAGATCCGGATGACAGCTTGACTTACAGCAAGGGCTACACGTGCGGGAAAGGTAACACTGTATCAGCGCTCGCGTCCCTGACTTTCTCACGCCAGTAAAGTGTGTGGGCAGGAATGCAGGGTGGGGCGGCTGGCGATTTCAGAAGTCCCGCGTGAGAGCTCACTGGTGACACTCGTCTGACCAGGGACCCCGCAAGCAGCTCAGAGGCTGCGCAATGTCAGGCGAGATGCGTCTGTTCAGTTTCGCCCGCGGTCGGTGTCGCCCGGTCAGTTTCGCCTGGTCCGTTTCGCCCGCGGCCAGTTCGGCGGTCTTCGTTCGTCGTCGAGGTCGGTTTTGTTCGTTTGTCGCCGCGGGCGCTGTTGCCGTCGTCGGTTCGCTGTCGTCGTTGTCGCTATCGTTCGTCTCAATTTGTCGTCGAAGGTCGTCCTTCGTCGTCATCTTGGTCGTCCTTTGTCGTCCTTCTTCCGACTCGCCCGTCAGGGTCCGCCAGTTCGTTTGTCGGCAAGCCCGCCCGCCCTCTTTCGTTGTCCGCCCGCCAGGCCAGCCCGCTAGGGTCCGCCCTCCCAGCCCGCCCGTTCGGGTCCGCCCGTTCGACTCGCGCGACCCACCCGTTGGGGTCAGCCTGGCCCGCCACGGTCCAGCCGCCCGACCCGCCCGTCAGGATCCGCAGGTTCGTCAGCTGGCAAGCCCAACCGCCCGCCGTGATGTGCCGCCTGCGGCCCTTCAGACCCCGCCCGCCAGACCCGCCTGTCAAGGTCCGCTCGGCTCGCCCGCCTGGTAGGGTCCCGCCCGCCCGTCCCGCCCATTTGGGCCCGCCCGACCCGCCTGTCAGGCTCCACGATTTGTCCTGTCTGCTGGAGAGCGCACCCGCTTCAACCACCCGAGACGCCCCTCAGGGGCCGTCTTCTACCCGGCCGTCAAGGTCCGCCCGCCCGACTCTTCGCGCGACCCACCCGTCAGGGTCCGCCCGCCGGACCCGTCCGTCAGAGTCCGCCCACTGGACCTGCCCGTCAGGGCCCGCAGTTTCGTCTGCTGTCAAGTCTGCCTTTCCGCTTGAATGTCCCGCCCGCCCGACCTACGTTGGCAGACCCCGATTCTCCAGTTAGGGTCCAACCGCCCGACCCGCCTGCATGTTACTGAGGGTCCCGCCTGCCCGACCCGCTCGTTTGGGTCCGCCCGCCTGGCTCGCCCAGCGACGCGGTGACGGCACGGCAAACGGCGGCGGCGGCGAACGCGGCGGCGCGGCGGGGGGGAGGGGGCGACGGCGAAGGCTAGCAACGACGGCGTCGACGGGGAACGCGTCCCGCCGAACAACGAGGGCGGCGACACAGGCGGCGGCGAAGACGATGGGCAACGGCGACGGCGGCGGTGACGCCGACGGCAGCGAAGGCGGCGGCGACGACAGGCGACGGGACGAACACCACCAGCGCAGCCGACAGCTGGCAGAGCCAACCGCTGGCGAACCCGACCCAGGCGAAACCAGACAGACGTGTGGAACCGCCCGTATGCGAGACCGGACGGGCAGAACCGACCCCTGTCGAACATGACCGTTGGCGAGAATGTCCCATGCTGGCCGGATCCCCTCCTGGAGTACAGTGGCGATGCCGAGCCCGGGACACAAAGCAGATGTTCTACTCAGTTGTTCAGATTGTTTTGGCATCCTGCTGGGAATGGAGCCCATGACGCCGTATGATTGTTCGAGTTACGTGTGGCGCGAGTTTTGTGTTCTAGATGATCGTGTGCTGGATGCGGACGGCGCGGGGGGTCCAGGGTCTTATGTGAGGTTTGGAGCCAAGTCGAGCTGATAAGCTTAAGATTTCATCTGGGGCGGGTGTTGCAGACTCCTGGACGCCAGGTGGCAGTACTTTGAGCACAAAAAACGGAGCGGAGTACGATCTCTACATGTTGGTTGTGCATCTGTTGACATGGACATGGGGCGTGTCGACGGAACAGATGGCGGTGCCGGTGGTAAACGGTTTGCCAGAAACAGGAGCAGTGTAGTATCCAGTGTTGTTTTGGAGACGGAGCCAAAGGCAGCGCATGCTTTGTTTCACCTGGGGCGGGTTTCGCGTATTGGCTGGTTGTGCCAGATGCGAGGGGGGGAGTAGCATAGGATGGTGTGTTAGATGCGGGTCAGCACGTGTGTACGTTTTGTTGTTCGTGGGGTGGGCAGATGGGGTCATGGTGGGTGCGGCTATATATGTGTGTACGCATACAAAAATCAGGTGTACATGCAGATCTACCTACCTATATATCTATCTATCTATCTATCTATCTATATATCTATCTATCTATCTATCTATCTATCTATCTATATATCTATATATCTATCTATCTATCTATCTATCTATCTATCTATCTATCTATCTATCTATCTATATATCTATATATCAATCTATCTATCTATCTATCTATCTATCTATCTATCTATCTATAGATATATCACCTGTGTGGAAGGCCCACGCAAAGCACGTATACTGAAACCTCGACAGAGACAGTGCATATTGGCAGGGATACACACGCATACCAATGGGCGCACTGGCAAACGGACACCAGAGCATACACAGATAGTCCCCTGGCGAAGGAGACGGGCAGGCCGTTGTATCAGACGCGCGGGCAGGGACAGAAACAGACAGAGACGAACCTAGAGTCAGACAACGGAAGCAATTCGCGGACGCAGAGAAGGAGACACCGACCAGCCAACGGATCGGTCATCGTCGTAACACAATCTCAGGGTCAGACTATCGATGAGCGTCGGGGTCATCTTCGCGGACATGTGTGCGTAAGTTTCTTGCGTATGGTCGCGCGCAAGGGCCCTCGTGTCCAGTGCAGTTTGCCGCGCTGGCGGCTCGCGTAAGCCACCGCGCAGGGTCGACATGCTATCGTGCGTAAGACGAGTTTATTTTCACCGCTCAGACATTGACACATTGGCAACGAGTTATGAACACAGCCAGGGTCTGCCACCACTCGCGAGCCCTGCCCATACGGGTCCAATCGACGCTGGGGTATCGGACACCCCCGCTGGGTCTCGTTTGGCTGCAGACATCTTCCAAGTTCTGAATCCCAGCCAGTTTTTTCGAGAAATCGGACCCGCAGGGGTCGGATTCACATGTTGTTGCCTGAAGGGGCTCACGGAGGCCGAGCTCGGAGGGACACGTGGGCGAAAAGCATTTCCGTACCCGCGGCCTCGCTGGCCAGGCCGCCGGGCCGCGACCCCACGGATCTCTCTCGCGGAAGCCCGGGATGTATCCGTGCGACCGCATGGCCGCGGGCCCGCGCCCCGGCTTCCGGACCGCGAGGGCGCGGATATGGATGCGTTCGCCGCTCGTGCGGGACGGGCGCGCGGGGGGGGCACGGGCAGCACGCGCGCGCGGGCCGGTTCCGAGGCGGGAATTTATCCGTATCCACCGCCTGGAGGGTCAGTTTTCGGAGCCTCGGCAGGCGGTGGAGATGGACGTATTCGGGCCCCCATATCCATATCCACCGCCCGCTGGGGCACCAGGACGTCGGTTCCCAGGCGGTGGATACGGATAAATTCCGGCCTCGCACGGACTTCTAGAAGTTCATATTCATGACATCTCGCATTCTTCTACGAAGGCCTCCGGAAGCACCTCGAGAGTCCTCCGAATGCCTCCCACGACCCCGCCTCGCACCGGCGGCCGCAGGACTTGGAGCGCGACCCCGGCGCCTGGCTGCGGCTGGCCGCGCGCAGCGTGCGGCCAGGGCGCGAGGACCCCGCCGCCGCGGGCTCTCCGCGCGGCCCGCTGGGCTTGGCGCGGCTCCGCCCCCATCGTCCGCTGGGCCACGGCTTCTCGGATGCAAGTCTTGGGAGGTCAAATTCAGCATCTGTATATATATATATATATATAGATCGATCGATCGATCTATATATCTATATTCATTTTCATTTCTATACATGTATATATATATATATATATCGATATATACGTTTTGGCATGCTGGGCTCTTCTGGCATCATCCCCGCTGTATCTGGCTTCGTCCGATCTAATCCCGCTGAGTCTGGCTTCATTGGGGCCCACCCTGGGCCTAAGCCAGCCTGGTCTGGCTGAACGGCCTTGATCGTTCCTGCGAAGACATTCCAGGAGCTTGCCCGCACAGGCGTAACATCTGTTGTCTTCTCGCGCGGCAGGCTGAGGTCCCAGACCCGCTACGCTATGACTCGTTCGTGGTGTCGACCCCCAGAGGTCTCGATAAGGGGGCCACATGCGAACCCCACCCCCACCCCCCACGATTTCTGAGGGGGACGGGTGGGGTTCACTTCGCTCGGGAGCTCCCGAGCGGAGTAACCCCGCCCCCCCCCCTCAGACATCGTCGGGTCTGGAGGGGGGTGGGGGAGGAGGAGGAGGAGGAGGAGGAGGAGGAGGAGTAGGAGGAGGAGGAGGAGGAGGAGGAGGGGTGGGGTCCGCACGTGGCCCCCTATCGAGAGACCCGCGGCCCAGCACCCGAGTTCCACTCCCGAGTGGTGTTGTTTTGACGGTCCCGGGGCCGGGCGCGGGCCCCCCCCCGAGGGCCGACCCTGGCGAGACGCCGCCCGCCACGATCTTTCTCACGACGCGAGGGGGGGGCTGGGACTATTTTTTGAGTACGGTAGGTTCATGCGGCGTTGGCGCGCCAGCGACGCCGGCGAAGGCGCTCAAGGTTGAATTCTGCGACGCGGAGGCACCGATGGACACGGTGACGCCTCTGGGCCCGACTGAATTCAACCTTGAACGATTGGGGCCTCGATCGATTCAAGGTTGAACGATCGAAGCGGTGACAAAAACCTTCGCGCGCGCCGACGCCGCGCGAACCTATCGTATTTTTGGGCATCTTTTGAATATTTGTGAGTATTTTGTATTTTTCGTTCAAAATCCCCCTCTAGGGGGACAGGCCCGACCGAAGGATAGCTGGAGGTGCCACCAGAAGAAGAGGACGAAGCCCTCTCCCAGAAGTTGTCTCCAGCCATCGGCCATGCGGCCACTGTCGGACGGGGCCAGGACGAGGGTATAATCTGCTCCAGAACGCTCTCGGAGCGTTCCGGAACGGCACGGCGCCCGAGACAGCCTCCAGAGCCGCCGGATCTCAGAGATCTTCCATTTTCGCAGGCGATGTTTCTCCCCCCCATCCCCGAGTTCCGCCAGAAAAGTTTGGCACCTCACAAAGAGGGGGGAACCATGGGATACACCCCAAGGGGGCTATTCGGACCCACCTCATTGTCGAGACGAGCCCAAGATAGGGGTCGAGATACTCCCTGTTTGACTTCTCCTCACCCGGTTTTATCCTCGTCCTGTCTTCGTCTTACGCTGGTCTCGGGGTTCCCGCGCCGCGGGCGACGAGCAGACGCGCCCCTCTGCGCGCCTCAAGGGGGGCGAGGCGGAGGCGCGGGCCGCCCCCCAGAAGTCCAGGCCGCCCAGGCAGGGCCGGAGCTCGAGCTCCTGCACCCGACGTCTTCGGCAGCAGATCTCAGGGGAGGTCTGTTTGAGACATGGGTATTCGGCCTTCCGGGGGAGGGCCTCGTCGCCACGGCTGGATACAGCTCGGCAAGCTGGTGGGTCTGGACCCTGAGAAGAGTCTGTGTACCGATCTCGAGCCGATCTTGAGGTTTTTGTGTCTATACTCGCCCTCGCCAAAAATCACAGGAGCCTTGCTTGTGTCCCTACCGCCATCTTTAGAGTGCATCATGAGCGTGCGCTATGGCGTCTTGCAATCGATGAGAAGTCTCCGATTTAGCGTCGACCAGCGTCGAATTAGCTTCGATACAACGCCGATTTCGCGAGGTCCTCCACCCCGACGTCGCCGATGCCTCTGCCGTGCGGCACGATCCTCAGACCCAGACCCCGTCGCGTGGTGAAAAGACATGACGATAGTTCTTGTTCCAAACCGTCCTGTGGTGTTGGGTCCTCGTTTTGAAGAGACGGTCCCCGCATTCCTCCCTCCTTCCCTCCTCCTCCCCCTCCTCCCTCCTCCCTGCGTTTCACCCATCCAGTACAGCGTTTCGTGGCCCCATAGGGAGCTCCACCGCAGCCCCCAGTGGGACCGCCCGCATGCGTCCCGAAAACCCAATTTGGCACACCCCTCACACGTTTTGTGGCCTCGTAGGGAGCTCAACCGAACGGCCCAGTGCCACCGCCCGCATGCGCCCCGAAAGCCCAATCTGGCACACCCATCACACGCTTCGTGGCCCCATAGGGAGCTCCACCGAAAGTCTCAGTGCCACCGCCCGCATGCGTCCTGAAAACCCAATCTGGCACACCCGTCACACGTTTCGAAGCCCCATAGGGAGCTCCACCGAAGGCCCCAGAGCCACCGCCCGCATGCGTCCCCCACACTCATTTCGGCACACCCCTCACACGCTTCGTGGCCCCATAGGGAACTCCACCGAAGATCCCAGTGCTACCGCCCGCATGCGTCCCCCCACCCAGTACAGCGTGTCGTGGCCCCATAGGGAGCTCCATCGAAGGCCCCAGTGGTACCGCCTGCATGCGCCCCCCTCCCACCCAGTACATCGCTTCGTGGCCCCAGACGGCCCCAGTGCTACCGCCCGCATGCGTTCCCCCCCACCCAGTGCAGCGCTTCGTGGCCCCATCGGGAGCTTCACCGACGGCCCCAGTGCTACCGCCCGCATGCGTCCCCCCACCCAGTGCAGCGCTTCGTGGCCCCATGGGGAGCTCCACCGAAGAAGATATTCACACTTGCGGTATCCACAACTGCATATGGTTGGGTCCTTCGCCAGGATAATTTTTAGGTTTCTGGGTCCACCGAGATAGTCAAAGACGTCTCAGTTTGAAAAGCCGGTCCCGGGGAGCGGGTCGAGACATTTGAGGGTCGGCGTCATGAAATTGTTTGAGACGTACACAACTCCTTCTCCACGCGAGGCGAATCTTTGTATGAACTTCCATGCAAAGCACAAGTCGCCGGATATGATGCCCTCACCTCCACCGTGCCTCCCAGCAACTCATGAAGGTGGCGACACTTGCACACTTTGCAAGCCTCCAGGGAAGCCGCGAGGTCTCGGCTGGATCCGGCCCCCGATTCCGCTGGACCTCCCAGGAGCCATCGAAAGTGCTAACAGGTGCGCAGTTCGCAGCCCCCCAGGGAGTAGCAAGGAACCCGATTGCTTTGCGTGGCCCCCGCGGTTGCGCAGTCCGCAGCCTCCCAGGGAGCAGCCAGGTTCCCAATGGGTCTGCTTGTATTTTTTTCCGCTGGACCTCCCAGGAACCCACGAAAGTGGCGAAGCTTGCGTAGTTCGTAGCCGCCCAGGGAGCAGCGAGGCCCCCAATGGGTCTATATGTTCCCGACTCCGTTGGACTTCCCAGGAACCCACGACAAATGGCGACATCTGCATAGTTCGCAGCCGCCCAGGGAGCAGCGAAGTCCCCAATGGTTGAGGGACGTCGAGGAGAGAGGGAAAGAGATACAGAGAGAGAGAGAGAGAGAGAGAAAACGATAGAGAGGGAGAGAGAGCGAGAGTGAGAAACAGAAAGGGAGAAATAGAGAGAGAGAGAGAGAAAGAGAGAGAGAAAGAGAAAAAGGCATACCGTATCCATGTTTTTTGGCACAACAGTTGGTATGGTAACGGAGCTAGCTACGGCCAGGTCCTGCTAAGGCGCCCCTCCCTTCGGGCGCTGGCCGCCCGCGCGATCGCAACCGACCGCGGGCAGGAGGACCCACGGAAGCAGCATCGACCCGGACATCGAGCGGAGGAACGAGAAGCGCAGTTCCAGGACCTACGTGATCCACAGCGCGATTTACGTAGTCAACAACAGAGGGCAGCACGAGAAACATACGAAATCTACGTGATCAAAAGCACGACGTACGTGGTCAACAACGGCAGGCAGCACGAGAAGCGCAATTTCGAAATCTACGTGATCGAAATGGCAGAGACGGGTGCAGAATGGCAACGTTGAAACCGCCCGATTTCGACGAGTTCGAGGAGAGCTGGATGGAGCGGTCGTTCGCGATGCGGGGTTTCTTGGGCGGACAGACGGCGCAGGCGCACCTCTTGAGGAAGGAGGCCCTGACATCAGCACGACGGAGACGCCACATAGGCTCGAAGCGGAAGATGACGGTCAAGGGCAGCGCTCAGATGCTGACCAGGAGCGTGGAGGACCAGGACGCTGCGTTGGCTTGGCGGGCGCTGAACAAACGGTGCGAGCCAGCCACCGCGGTCAGAGCACAGAGCATCATGTCGAATGTCTTCATTGTGAAGCTGTTCCTTTGGTACGTTGGCGGAGTTCGAGACGCAACGCTCGGGGTGGGAACGCGACATCAGACAATATGAGGCGGCGCCAGGGGAAGTTTTCAACGCAGGCGTGAAGAAGAGCATCTTCTTAGAGAAGGCGCCGCGCGACATGCGAACGGCACTGCAGATGCAGAGTGAGAGAAACTGCGACGCACTGGTCGTCTCGACGACGCAGTACTTGCAAGGGGCAACGAGGGCGGCAACCGGCAGGTCCAGACTACGCCGAGCGGATCTGGCGCAGGCAGGGGCCACGGCAGTGCAGCAATGGAGGCGGACGCGCTGACAAGACAGCACGGCGGCAAGGGCGAGCAGAAAAGGTAAAGACATAGGCAAGGGAAATCAGAAAAGGAAAGGCAGAGGCAACGACGGCAAGGGCAATGGCCACGGCGCAGATCCGACGGCAAGAGCAGCGGCGACGACCCCCCCCCTTGGAGCATGGCGGGCGCACCTGGAACAAGGCTGCGCTACCTCTGCGGCGGGCGGGGTCGC